ACACATTCATCAACAACTGCCTACGATGGCTCCTTACTGAAGATCAGATGAGATGGCCAGAAAGAATAAGCAACAAGGAGCTCTGGGAACGAACCAACCAAGAACCTATCACCCAACAAATATGCACTGGAAGGAAGTGGAGATGGATTGGGCATACACTGAGAAGGCCGACTGGGGACATCACGCATCAGGCCAGTTGCTCGAGTGGAACCCCCATGGAAAGCGACGAGTTGAGCATCCGAGGTGAGGGTGACATGGAAGAGATCATGCGAGGAGGAAATGAAAGCCTGTGGACTGTCGTGGAGCCAGGTTCAAAAGATTTCAGAGAACAGAGCGCATTGGAGATGTGCTACTGAAGCCCTACGTTCCATCAGGAACCCAAGGGACAAATAATAATATAATAATAATAATCACCATGGATTTTGCCCGACCACCATGTGAATTCGTAACGCAGTGAACTCGTAGTTAGCACAGTTAGTACAGCATCGGATAAGAAACCCAATGGTCACTGGTTCGAATCTGGCTGCAGTTCAAATTTTCATTGCACCTTCAATCACCAACCAGTATAAATATTAGTCTGTCAAATCAAGGTTATCTCAGATAGTCAAAATGATATATAATCTATTGAATTACATCAAAAATGACGGAAATATGAATAATGTTTGAGAATATTAACACTGGGTAGCCAGTGTAAGTATGACCGAGCGGTAGTAAAGCTTCATGTATTCACATGGTAGTCGAGCAAAATCCTTGTTGATTGAAGTTAAATATTAAAAGAATGTGGTCAGCAAGTCTGGTCCCGTAGTTCAGTTGGCAGAGGACCGGATCGAAAACCCAATGGTCACTGCGTCGAATTATACCACAGTCCAAGATTTTCATTTCACTTTCAATCATCACCCAGTATCAATAATATTTCAGACAATAAGATGAAGGAATAAAATAGTAAATAAAGCTGTAGGTAAAGAACAATTTATCAAGGCAATGCAAGGTGAATCATTAACTCTTTTTGTACACATTAGTTTGGTTTCAGTCGACGGTATTGCTGCTGCTTCTGCATGACTTAACAATCTGCCAGTTCTCTTTGTCTATACTGGAGAATATTTGTAGCTCAGGTGGATGATTTTGGTTGTATTTTGTTCTCTAAGCTGGGTTGTTTAATCGTGAAGCTTTTATCGTCTTTCTGGACAACATCACCAGAACCAACTTCAATCTGAAGTGAGCTGTCAGTATCTCTCCGTGAGTGATTCAGTAGCCTGTCCTGACGAACTGGTTTGCGATTGGATATTTCCTTCGATTGCTGTGTCACTGATACACCGCAAAAATTCTCCTGTTAGCTATTTCTCTGCTTGACCTCTCATCTTTCTATGGTTTGTCATTTTCCTCATTGGTTAAAAGATTGGGTCTATTGATTACTGATTGACCTGAATGCCAAGCATCTAGGAATTCATTGATATTCTTTGTGTTTCCTCTGTTCAAGATCTCTACATTGTCAAGATTGAATTCATATCGAATCAACAAGAAAAATGATCAATGACAGAAAGGTTAAAGGTCAAACAGGGGAATAGCCAACAAGAAAACCCATACAGCCAATGACACAACAACCAATTACAAACTAGTTAGTCAGGCCAAGTTACTTAATCTCTCAAGGAGAGATATTGACAGCTTACTTCAAATTGAAGTTGGTGCTAATGATGTTGTCCAGAAAGACGATGAAACCTGCACAATTAAAGAACCCAGCTTAGAGAACATAACACAACCAAAATCTTTTCATCCACTTATCACCTTGAAACTTATGTTTGAATCGATGAAATGACTTATACCACAGATGTGTTTACCAATGGCTCTGTTAAATAGCCTTCCATCTTTCAATGATAAGCTTTCTGCCAAATGTTCAGAGATTCTCTTAGTATGGATTGTTACCGTTCTTCAGATATACATACTACTGCAATAACAAGTAAGTAAATAAAAACAATTAGAGTTAACACGAGGACGTCTCACATCAAAATTTGTTCCTCTGAGCATGTTTTTAGACTGTAAATTTCTCAGCTGGATAAGTTAATGTGATGCATACATTCAGTCGGCGATTAGTTTTCGATGACTTCCATGGAATAGAATATGGTTGCCCGTAAAAAATAAAGTCCTGATTAGACCTTTTTTTATTGATCAGCGATGGTAAAAACTATTAAATGGAAAATATTGACGACCTCGAGAAGGCATTCATCACAGACTGACACCAATTGGAGAACTACTGAATATATATATATATATATATATATATATATATATATATATATATATATATATATATATATATATATATATATATATATATATATAGCGTTTTACTGCACTGAAGATCGTTACTGTTGCAAGTAAATTATTTGTATCTTCGTTATTCAACAAAACATGTCAGGCTTATCTTCGTCTATATGATCTGTCTGATGTAACCATCTTCATACGTATGTAGCCAACTATATGAGTCATCAGACTGCTAACTAATTCAATATGGAATGGGTTGGTAAGCATAGGCTAATCATTTCTACCGAATTTGAGAGTTTATGAAGATGTGGTGGTGGTTATTCAATTTGATATTCATCATGGACTGACACCAGTTAGAGGGACATTGTACGTAGTACGCAACTCGTTAGGAATGCGGACCCATGACCCAGCCCCGCCAGAGCTTGAACCCTGAAGTTCTAATGAGAAGTGACCAGCGGAGCATAGGTGGTGGCCGTGAGGACAAATACCCAACGATGACATTGGGTGGTGGTCACGTCATGCTGTGAACTGACAGAAGTTGGAAATATGGATGATTGGATTCTAACCCAGTGACTCAATGATAACGTGCTGGCCACGAAATGCGGTGCTACATTCAATCCCTGGGGTGTGGGGTCATGGTGCGCACTGCTGAGAAGTCGTACACGAGGATGAAATAGCTGTCCAGTACTCTCAGGTTTCAATCTTCCTAAAAACTGATATCAGTTCATGATCATTTTATGCTTCTAACTCTAACCATTTTGGTCTAGAGTTAATTAACTGTCTTCCTGATCATTCAGCATAATCTGTAATCGAACAATGATTTTTATAAATAGCATATCAACAAAGTTTCCACAATTGGACATTTCACTTTTCTCCACATCAGTATTTGAAGTTTTCAAATCTGTATTGAATTTGTTGTAGTGGAGAGGTAAGTCACTTAAGGTAGATGTGAACCTTCATCGACTGGAATGGTTACGATATATATATTAAGCCTGGATCATTCACTTAGTTAGCTGAAGTAGATTTAAACTGAAATAGGACAGCCTGACTAAAATATGACATCACTGGATGACGTCATTGACTGTTTGTTTGAGCCATAATGGAGAATGCAGATTACCTAGTTCTAGTCAACATGACAGTAAAAACCAGTAGTTGAAGACTTTATATGTGATACATCTACAGACTCTATCTTCGTCTTAACTGCTAAATTGAATTTAACATTTCTTCATTCCTCTTCATTCTCTTTTAGTACTTTCTTCTGCTTCTCACCGATTTTCCTTCTTCCTTCATCTTATCACTATGTTACTTGATATGCTGATTTATGAAGTGTAGCAACTTCGACTGTTGTTCAGTAATTTTTAGTGTTCTTTGTTGATATTCATGATGATGAGTTGGTGGTGTTCCAGTATGTACATAGAAGTAGAGGTTGTAATTCCTTTTAAAAGAAGTAATGTATAATCAACAACTGTTTTTTGATTTTCCAGATTACAAACGTCTACTTACAGTTTTTAACTTAAAGAGAAAAACTTTAGTGTTATTCAAAAGGCAGATTGCAATAGGTTGTACAACATTATTTTTCAGTTCATAATTTCGACCAATATGACACATTTACTCGTCAATTGATGCATCAACAACCGAAATAAGATATTAATGATAGATAATAGCTACCAGTGAGATTCAGGAAGTGTGTTTCACCCTATTTGGGACTCATCAGTGGGATGTACCTGACTAGCTGTGAACTCTGGATCGATCGCTTCTAACACCAGAGTGTTATCCACCAGACCACCGAGCCACAATAGCCATTTCTTGTGTAACGGGTATAGTCTTAATGTTGTTTCTGGTATTATCCTATGGTTGGTTGGATCGAAATGACGGGCTCCTGTGTGGATGCCTCGATACTACTTGTGTTTCGAATCATTCACTGAGAGGCAGACACATCCGGCTGACGAGTCCCAAACAGGGCGAAACGCACTTCCTGAATCCCACTGATAGCAACTACCCATCAATAATGTATAATAGGTGACGACTACTTGGAGATGGCTTATTGACTTTCAATCCTTGATTCATTAATATTTCATAGTGAATTACTTAAGTTGGCTATGTGCTTCTCTGAGTCATAAAATTGTTTATATCACGACTCATAAATTTGAGGTATCAATAGTATGTTCAAAAAAAGAGGGAAAACTATTATCCAAATAATGTGTGATCTTGTTGAATATGTTATCTTTCAGCTGTAGTGATAAAATAAAAGGTGTGATTACTTGTCACATCTTCAATAGACCAGTAGCCTAACTAACTTTACAGCCAGCCTAGCTATAAACACACTTTCATATCATTTCATAGTTGCTTAATAACACTAACATAGTTCACAAATCAAATACGTATCAATTTTGTACCCTTGATTGCAGTGTAATCCAAGATATGTTTCGTCCCACACGTGACTCATCAATCTGATGTATCGGCTTCCCAGTGAGCAATATTCTTCTCACTAGGATGGGTATAGTCTTTTATGTGATCGCTTGTTATTCCCCATCTATACTCTTTATCATTTAGACTGTAGAAACCGATAAATAAACAAATCCATTACACAGATAGTTTACCCTTCCTGTTTCCATTGACTCTCAACTAATTGAATAGGTTTAATAGGGTTCATGTATCTCTTAATCATATAAACAATATGAGGGGGGGGGCAGCAGGGGGTGCAGCGATAAACTTACTCGTCAAAAAAAAACACAACCTACCTTGTCATTTAAATGTCTAGCAATTTCTAATTCATGGGTGAAACATAATATTGCCTCATCGTATTTACCCAACATTTGAAGTGTATTGCCTAGATTTCCAGTTGCAGAAGCCTCCCCAGGTCTATCGCCCATTTTTCTGTAAACAGAATATTTAAGAAAACTTACTGATATACACTAATATAAATTAAGATTATCTTTATAATTACTACTTATTAACATACTTGTTATTTCCTGTTGTTTTGTTGGATCGAATTGTTCGACCTCTATTCCCATATAGGCTCCTATGCGGATACCTCGATATTGCCTGAATGTTAATTGTGACAATATGGTCGGTTGTGGCTAGCAGAAGAATCTAAGATGCACGCTTCCTTCTATTACGCTATCGTTCCTCCGTGGTGTTCGAAGCGATGGGTTCCAGTCTCAGTAAGAACAACATCACTGGGGTGTAGGTACATCCAGCTGACGAGTCCCAAAATAGGACGAAACGCACGTCCTGGATTCTTCTGCTAGCCACAACCAACCAAATTATCTTTATCATTATTTGACACATTAATCCTTGCCTGTACAAAAGTATCCAAAATAATATTATAAACATACAGGTCATAGTTGTTATGAATGTTCTGGAAATTGATCGCCGAATCCGGTTTAATCAATGTATATATCAAAAACAAGATTATCTCTGATGGTTTCGTTGTGAATGTCACGGTTTCTTCAGTAGAATATTCGGATTTTTATTCAACATCAAAAGATATATAGACCGTCAAACGATACATGTAGGAATTTCTGTCTTTACACTACTAGTTAACTGTTTTGTTGTTCTGAGTGATTACTTCTAACTAGTCATCGTGTTCGAGCCCTCACTGAAGGCTTTCGGAGACCTTAATCAATCTGTACATAAAAGCAGAAACAGCACTTTGGATGCCACCACTCTCTCATATCACAATATTGCTTATAATCTTGATAAAAATGCCAAATATGTCAGGTGTGCCTTTTTAGACTATACTTCGACATTTGATTATGTCCCAAGACCTCTTTTGCTGGACAAGCTGCAGAGAACTAATACTGAGTCCTGGATAATCAGCTGGCTGTATTCCTATTTCTCTGAAAGGAAACAACATACTGTTTTAAGAGGGAAGCACTCCACCTCACTGCTTACCGTGACTGGAGTTCCCCAAGAAGTCATCCTTTTCCCATGTCTTTTCTCATTCTTTCTGCACGACTTACCATCTTCAGCTGGTATCAATTTCATCAAGAATGCTCATGACCTAACAGTTTCCATACCTGTCTCCTCTTCAACAGATTGACGCCAACTCAATGATTTCCCATCTACTGTTAGACGATGGTCCATTGAGAATGGTCATATTCTTAATTATATATATATATATATATATATATATATATATATATATATATATATATATATTCCAATATTTCATCGAATAATCTATCTAAACCTAACCAATTCGAAGGTCGTATGTAATTTGTCAAACAGACAACTAACATTGTTGAAGAACAGATTAAATTTCAACGTGAAGAGAAGATCTTTGAAAGTGATACACCTATCCGTCATTACAGAACCAGTCATATCACTCATGATACTAAAGGAAGACGTTCATACACTAGCACAAAAAATCGTAGGTAACATTTCAAAATCACAATTCTGGCACATCAAATCGCACAAGGCAACAGTATCCTACTTTCATCCACTCATCCAGATCAACCTAGGACCAGGCATTACTGAGTCACAATCCAAATTGCCACATACCTCATATCATTACACCAAGTAAACAAGGAAGTCAAGTGAAACATAAAAAATACAAACTTCAAACGAAAAAAAATATAAACCACAAAATGAGAAAAATCAAGAATGACAAAATGCTGAGATTAGGTAAAGCATCGTCAAGATGACGATAATCTGTGTGTATACATGTCACATTCACATCACTTCTCAGCCACATAACCACCTACAGTCAGTCTCCAACCACTGCTTCCTCTTCTCCCACCGAAACCAACCACCTAGTCAGTCTGCATCGCCCAACATCAACAACAACCTTTTCCAGCCTCAACCTACTCCACCAACATTGTGTGACAAGGCAATCGCCAACTACACATACGTAACACATGTCCCAACCAACCATCTCACTCAATGAAGCTTCACAACCTCATCAACTCATTCACATCTTCTCCCTAAAACTCTACACCTACACCTACACCTACCCCACTTCTGCATCACTCACTCACCTGGTGACACCACAGAATATGGCCTACACAACGAAGGCAACGATGGTCAAACACCTCAAGCCAGCCTTCTCATGTCTTCCACTTTTAATGGCCATGTTTCACAACCATGCAGTAGAACAGACTGGACTGCTGTGCAGTACACGCGACCCTTGATAAACAATCGGATATCACGGCAGCGCCACAGATGGTGTAACTTGGTAAAGGCAGCCGAACCTTTTGTATCCATGCAGAGATTTCATCGACCACTGAGCCACTAGGGTAGGGCTGATCCCCCTTCACTTCCCAGGTAAGTGAAGTGGTCGATACACTCAACCACTACACTCTATTGTTAGCCGCAGTGAGGCACTGTTTAAGACCAATCCTGAAGCAACAATTTGCATTTCCGTAGTGAGAAACGCATCCCAAACATTCTTAAATTGCCACTCAAAGTATGCAGAAGACTGCATCTTGTCAGCGTCTTCATCTAACAGGAAGGACCATGTTCTCTGCATATTCTAGGTCTAACGAAAATTCTCCCGCGATTAGGTCGTCTGTGTAATCAGGTGACGAGAGGGAGACCTCCATAAGAATATCAATGATAAAATTGAATAAGAATGGAGACAGTGGGCATCCTTGACGGACACCACTCGGTGAGCATAGCTCCCTAGACATCTTATCATAGGTTCTAACACGCCAACAAGTGTTCGAGTAGAGAGCCTTCAATAAAGTGATGTACTTACTCGGTACGCCTTTCAGTGAGAGACATTGCCATAAAACTTCTCGATCAACGGAGTCGAATCCCGCCTTCAGGTCAAAAAGTGAATGACGCAATTCCAAAGATTACAAAAAAACAACCGAGTGTGTAAGATAACATGCACGGATTAGGAGGTCCATTATATTGGTGACACTATTACTATTTATTGATATGGTTGTAATTCTCCGTCGCTTTACTGGATCTAATTGGTTCGACTTCTGTTGGAATATGCAAATCTATGCGGATACCTCGATATTCGCTGAATATTAATTATGGTAATTTACTTGGTTGTGGCTAGGAAAGGAATCCACGACGCGTGTTTTGTCTTATTTGGGACTCGTCAGATGGATGTACCTGCACCGCAGTGGGAATAACACCACTCCGCTCTGAGGTGCAGGTACATCTCGCTGTCAAGTCACAAATAGGACGAAACACGTGTCCTGGATTCCTCTGCTAGCCACAACCAAGTAAATTACCATCTTAGTGAAAATTATACACAGCTGAAGACTAGAGTGAATGAACATAGATTATGCAGAAAACATTCACCAAAGAATAAAGTGGAATTGTAAAAGTTTGGAAAAGAGATCAGCAATAGCAATGCATTCCATTGAAAGCGGGCATAAAATTGATTTTAACATATTAGGAAAGGGTTTTCATTCATATAAACAAAGATTGACCTCAAAAGCTCTGCATATTTTATCGTCAACAAATGCATGAAACAGAAAGGAAGGAATAAATTTGTCGTCTATCGACAGAAACATTTAAAAAAAGGTCATCACATTAAATTGGACTTTCAAAAAAGCAAAACAAACAATATGGATCAGGACATTTGTAAAAACTATGGCCTGGATGCTTATAATGTGGATCAATTATTTTTAATCAATATACATGTTAATTTACTTGGTTGTGGCTACCAGAGGAATTCAGGACACGCGTTACGTCTTATTTGCGACTCGTTAGCTGAATGTACATGCACCTCAGTGAGTGATGTTGTTCCCACTGAGACTTGAACCTCGTACCGATTACTTCAAACGCCAAGACGTTATCCAATAGGTCACTGAAGTAGGATAGCCACCTCTTGTACAACGGGTATTAGTAATTACTATTTATTGATATGCTTGTAATTCTTCGTTGTTTTACTGGATCGAATTGTTCGACTTCTATTCGCATATCGGCTCCTGTGCGGATAACTCGATATTCGATGAATATCAATTATGATAATTTACTTGATTGTGGCTAGCAGAGGAATCAAGGATGCGCGTTTTGTTCTCCCTGAAGTTTGAAACGCTGGGTAATGGATTTGAGTCTCAGTGGAAATAACATCACTCCGCACGAAACGTACATCCTGGATTCCTCTGCTAGTCACAACCAAGTGAATTACTATAATTAATATTCAGGCAATATCGAGCTATCCGCATAGGAGTTCATATATCAATAGAAGTCGAACCAATTCGATCTAGTAAATCAATGGAGAATTACAAGCATATCAATAAATAGTCATAAATAGGTTTTTCAATGAACAGCGTAATGAGAAGACGAAGATTGTCTGAAACATACGATGGTATTAGCGCTAAACATTTCCAACAATCTGATCGTACATGAACTTGTTGAACTATTTAAATGAAAATTTACGAAAAGGGTCAATGAAGTCAATAGGAATAAGAGAAGGGAAGAGGATAAAAAAACAAACAAGATCTTAATCACATTATACTTGGCATGAAAATTGACATCAGTACAATGAAGGGAGGTTCAACTTGAGTACAAATTGTTTTTGAATACATAAAGTAGGGGAGTTTGAATTTACAGATGGCAACAGGTTCAAGAAATCTAAACACTCGATACTGACCAATTTTATGCAATACTTTAAAAGGTGTTTTAATGTCTACCCTATGATTAGTTTCTAGTAAACTTTTAGCGAACCTCGCCTGATTAACTAGTTCACTAGTTACTAGCCGGTCCTAAGCCAGGGTAAAGAGGGAGGGTTTGGCATAGGGCTAGCAACCCTACCCCGTAAAACAAATCTAACCGCTAAACAAACTTCAAAGCACAAAGAAAATATAAAAAATAAAAACAAACTTATTCATCGCTGCAATCGGAGAGGCGAAATGACGCCGGTCAGTGAAAGCCTTCGGGAAGCCAATTGGCCGATGAGTCTTCTCTCCCTCGATGAAAGAGAAAGTAAACGTGGGGACATGGAATGTCCGCACCATGTTTGAACCCAGTAAAGCAGCTCAGATTGCAAAGGAAATGAGAAGGTATCACATTGAAGTGCTAGGAATCTGAGAAAGCAGATGAAATCGGAGTGCACTCTCCACACTATCAACTGGAGAATCAATAATCTACTCCGGTCACCCAGACGATAACCACGAGTACACTGAGTTATGGAGTGGCTATCATGATGTCCCCAACAGCATCGAAGGCTCTCATGCAGTGGGGACCAATCTCCTCCAGGATCATGACAGCAAGATTCAACTCAAAAGGAAGGAAGGTCACAATCATACAATGCTACGCCACGCACCTACAAATAATGCACAGCAAGAGAAAAAGGAGGAATTCTACAGACAACTTCAATCAACACTGGACAAGACCTCAGTTGGCGATATCAAAATTCTAATGGGTGGGGTGACATGAATGCCAAACTGGAAGGAGACAACAAAGGAAGATAACTAACCATGGGTCGAGAAGCGCTCAGTGAGGTGATGAACGAGAATGGAGAATTGTTTGCAGAATTCTGTGCATTCAATGATTTGGTAATTGCAGTGAGGCAGTGTGTTCAAGCACAAGGATATCCACAAGGTAGCGACATGGATTTCACTAGACATCAGAGTACACTAAAAATCAGATCGACTTTATATCAATCTCATGAAAATGGAGACGCAGCCCACTTGACACAAGGTCAAGAAGAGGAGCAGATGTAAGTTCAGACCATTATATAGTGCAAGGAACCTTTCAAATCAAGTTAAAAGCCAACAAGGAAGTTGGTGATAGACCACAGTTCAAGTACAACACTCGGAAACTGAAGGACGAAAAATTCTTCAGCAACAACATCATCAACCGTCTAAATGTAAATGGCACACCTGCAAGACTAAATGGCATTCGCTTGAATCGGTATTGCTTCCTGCCGACAATAAATGTTATTTTCTGTTCATCGCCTTTTTTTATTGGTAGCCTGAGCGCAGGTCCAGAAATGTAAATAATTCTGCAGATGATCCAGTGTTTCAGCTACCGTCGGCATGTCACACGGCTTCAGTTGTGTTATGCTATTTAACTCTGGAAAATCAACGCAGAATCTACAGTTCCCATTTAACTATCTTACCAAAGTACTGGTGAGCTGTACGGGCTATCAGCCTCTTCAATGATACCTTCGTTTAGCATTTCCTGAACCTGGAGACGAACTTCTTCTTCCAAGTAACACAGTATTCGCCATGTCATCAATGTTGTCATTGCTTGACTTGTCACCAGGATTTCATCCTGAACCTTGTCACACTATCTGTAGGGGTCTCCATCTCCCGTGAACAAATTGTCGTATTTCTTAACCACCTTCATGATGTTTGGCGCTTTCGATACTTCAATCTCTGCTACCTCGCTGGTTTCCTGAGTGGTGAACGACCCGTACTTCGTCACCACTATTCCTGTTCTCGTGTTAATAACTGCGCCCACTTCTCAGAAAATCGGCACCCAGGATTGGCCTTTGTAGACGCGTGGTCACAATAAGTGGAAATCTAATTTTCCGGCTTCCGATCTCAACCACGCAATCTGATAAGCCTGCGATATCTAGTGCGTTTCCCCCGACCTTGTGGACCGTTAGCTCACATGGTCTTGTGTTCTGAGACTGTCTCATCTATTAGTGAGACTGCCGCCCCTGTATCTATTAGACACACGATCTCCCGATCATTTATTCGCATTTTAGCATACACCACGCCTCGATCTATGGCTCCTACAATACCTAGTCTAGTCGGAAAAACAGAACTCATACTATATCACTCAAAACGTTTTCTTTTTCGCCTCTCCGGACAATTTCTTCGCCAGTGTCCAGGTTTTCCGCATGCAACGCATTTGCTCTGTCTGTCGATATTCTTTCGAAGTTCGGCCACCTCTTCCTGAAAGTTGTTGACTTGTTCTTGCCAGTTATCTACCTCCGGTGACTCCACTGCCGCTACTCCTGTACCCATTAGCTCCCTGGTCACCTTGGCCACCTCACTAATGTCCATGGGTTGGGCAGCGTTGACTAGTCGTAATTGCTGGGTGATGGCATTTAGGACACTTTTGGTGAACTGTGCAGCCAGAAACTGTTGTTGGGAGTCCTCATCCCACGTGGGAAGTGCACGTCGAAGTAGTTTGGTCAACTTCACAGCCAACACCAGCGGATCTTCGTCTATTCCCAGTTTCGTGATCCAGAACCGCTGCATCGTTAGCTCCCTGTTCGCTGGGCTGTCAAACCCCGCCCCCAAGCGTTTAACCATTCTCTGCCGAGTCTCCTTCCCTCTCCACGTTCCACGCCGTCATACGCTGCTTTCGCTCTACCTCTCAGCAACGTGCCAAGTACCACCACCTTCACCCCTGGATCCCGGACACCCACCAGCCCCGCGACCGACTCCAAGTCCCTGAGAAAGACCTTGATATCTCCATCCACAAACACTGCAGGCCACGGAATCTTCATCACGTCCAGAGGCAGCGACACCAATTGAAGAGACAGAAGACAGACACGACGAAATAATGTTTATTATCAACAACTGGAACAGCAGTCGTTATCATATGGTACACCTTGCACTAAACCCGTCATTTGCAAAATGTGCTTCATTTCCTCTTTTGTTTCTCTCTTGATTTGCTCTTCATACATTCTTATCAGTAGCATCCACTGTAATACGCCTGCATTATCCCTTGCGTTGCTCTTGGCAGAATCCTTACCCATTGCTGGTAATTCCCTATGATTTCTGCCACCCTCTCAACATATACTGCTTATATCCATTCTTATCAGCAACGCCCACTACAAGAGAAGCTTCCACACAAGGTACGGGTAGCCGGAAGTATCAACCGCCAGCACTTTTCCACAGGCATACAGAACTCGTCTTATAGTAGTAACCTGCCCTTCTTACGTTTGTCGACTACCTTTTCTACACTTCCCAATGTCAGCATTAAACTTCTTACACCTATCTCGACCTCTCACCACCCTACGACCATTCCTGAAGATCAAACCGAGCGAAACACCATTACCAATCTCCTAAAACCAAGCTGTCAATTTCAGGTTAGAGTTTTCAACATCCGAACCGTATGCTAAGTCAGACAAAAGGCATTCCTCAGCAAAACTTCGAAATCTCGAGCCAAAGATGCATATTGTTTTTGAGACACGCATACAGGACGACATTTCAGTGAATTGTCGAAATACACTTAACGATTGACTGGAGATTTAATGGTTAGCTCTAGTGGACTCACCTGGCCTAGGAAGGATCCTGAGACCGACTAATGCCTATTTGTTATCTTCGCCTACGCACCCACTGACTGCAGTTGGGATGATGCAAAGTATGAATTTTATGCGAAGCAGTCAATTTTGCTACAGAAAGCAAGACGTTTAAATGTAGTCATAACGGAACGTGACTTTAACGCTCAGGTATGGAAACTGAGCCAATCAGAGAGGCATCTTCGAAGTATATACAGTGTCGTATACGAACTGACAACGGTGATCTTCTGTTGCAATTCGTTCTGACAACCACTTGTTTCTGGTCAGCGCTAAATTGAAGTATAAGGAGAGACATTGTCTCAATTGGCACCCCTCGAAATCAAACCAACGAATAATAGATAGATTATATTGCTATAAACCACCTTTGAAGATGGGTGGAGGATTTCCGCCCTTCCTTGAGTACCTGCTCAGACTCCGGTTACACGTTGGTACGAGCTTGTGCACGTCTACGCCAATATTGGTCACAGAAAACAAGTAGCAATGAAGCCTGTGCTCCACTGGAACATGAGAACGTCAAGTGTGTATTTACAGAGGACAAAGTGAAGCTGAATAAATCTCAGCCCGGATAAAGAATGCCGGTTTTGTGTTTGCTAACTTATATTATCTCTGGTTCTGGAGAATATTTCCAAATACTTATCAACGGACGAGTGTACTGCACTGAAGTCTGCTATGCCCTACTACAGAGTTGTGAAATATGGTCGATAAAAGTCTATGTGAACCGTTTACAGGATGTTTAGCATGAGCGTCTTGGCAGCATTGGTCTTCTATGGCGTGATCACCGTGTAAGCAATGTCAAGGATGGACGTTGTGTATACTAGGGAGGGAAGATAGATCCGTCAAAGGGGATTTGAACCCCCACCAACCAAGATGACTTAAAAAAGTGTTGGGCATGGCAAACCATCACCTACTCAGATGTGCAATATTAGCTGAATTGGGATCAGGTTCCAAAAAGCTCAAGTTGGCCAGAGCTGTGAATGGAGGTGTAAACTGGTTGGGGCCCTTTACATAATACAAATTATCAGTTGCTGATATGGCCACATGTTCATTGTAAGCTGGTGTGAAGTACAGCAGCTTGAAATGATGGACTTCTAAGCTTGATTCTACATTGATTTTGACTGCCTGTCTCATCACCTAACACTATGAACCCAAATACATACAAAAACTGACTATATATCAGTGAGAAAAACACGTTTGTATTCCGAGTTATGAACAAAATCTGTAATACAAATGCTAATGATGTTAACTGGTTTCCGAAACCCCATTTGACAGTTTGGGTGTCGTATGAATTTCAAGTTCTCGAATCCATATACTACAATTTTCTCATACTTAAAAGCCAGCACAATGAAATCACTTCTCAACTAAGGAATTTCAACATATAATGAATATGTTAAGAACGGTACTGATAACATATCACACACAGACAACTTACTTAGTTAGAGCAAGGTTCCAACGATGATATTCCAAGGCTCTAGGATAATCTTTTTGATGGAAATAAGCATTGCCTAATTGACAATAGATAACACACAAACAATTGAGATCATCTGTCCCGATTGTTAATGCTTTGAGTAAAAATGATATTCCTTTATTCCAATCCCCTTCACGACAAAATCGTTCACCTTCCATAGCAAGGTCTAAACATGGTGTTGATACGGTCGAGTTAAAATATGTCATTTCGAAAACTGGAAATTATATACCTATAATTTTAACAATAAGAAATATTAAACTATGCCTATAATAATTATCAATAAGAATCAGAGAATAAATATCACATAATTAAACATGGTTGACAGCAAAAATGAACTCGTAGCGTACGCTGTACAAAATACGAACAAGCTTCTTTGGAAGTAAGTTAACTCAACTTGCTACACTCTAGAAATAAATATATAGATATACGTCATCAGGAATTACTTTTGAAGTAATACAAATCAAATTTGACTGTATTTTAGTATGATATGCAAGAATGAATGACTGAAATGATATGGCAACATATCGGTCAAGATAATTAATATGACAGCAGAAAGCCGGAAAGGAAAGAAGATAATTAAGTAGAAATGATAATAAAAAACAACCGGTTGGTCTCCTATGACAGACAAATAGACAAAACCAACGTAGAACTTCACATACCGCTGGATAGGCTCAAGTTCCCACACTCCACAGTACAAGAATAGGTGGATAGAAAAAGACTTACATCAAAGCAGACAAAGTTGAGTGAGACAATAAACAATTTGAAGATAACGGATAGTGCAAATATTCAAGCTTTAAATGTCAAGGAGTGAATTCACGTGTACTATTGTCAACGATTTCAAGCTATGTCACCAAGAGTCCTCAACAACTGGTTCCTTTCGTCTCGGACACCCCAGCAAGGCAGTTTACATCTACTCACACGACTCAGGTCAATAGTAAGAGACTTCGTCGACTGATGTCACATCTTGGTCTGGCTACCATGAACCCTCTTTCAACTTAAACCAACTTCTTCTAGCATAGCATGGCACGTTGAGGTGGGTATGAATGTCTAACGCTATGTTTTGGTAGAGCTCTTCGAAAACTCTCACACTGTTTATTGCACGATTGCAAATACAAAGTGACTATTAGTTGTGCATAATTCATGTCCTTAAAATAGCCCAATCGGCATAAACAAATTCAGTAGATAGTTTTTCCATCATTGAATGGTTTGCCCAGAAGTGAAGTGTTGAGAAAACCCTAGTCGCCCTATTACATCGGCTAGTTTGTTATTCTATACACTTATAACATTCGAGGAGAACGGCTGCTCCAGTGCAATATTATGCATCTGCATGAGCTGATCTTCTCCACAGTTAGATTAATAGAAGTATGGCTACCGAAGGCAATGACGTACCTGACCTCCTACAGACTGTGCATAATTGTTTTAAAATGTTGCATTTTGCGGGTATCTTACGGTCTGACTTCTTGCTTTAGGTTAGAGGGACAGTAAGTGACAGCTGTGAGTTCGATAACATGAATTGTAGTGAGATACTAATCCTTGAGAAGTGAGAGAAAAGGTCAACAGTAAGACACCTAAAATAAAGTCAGATCAGTCTTGAAGACGGACAATCTCAAAGAAAGAAAACCAGTGGAGTAGGCTTAGCTAATACTTCACCGAAGATAAACTTGAGTAAGCCGCTTTCAACGGTATGTTATAATTTATCAGTTACACCCACTGAAAACTGAAAACCAATGTCACTTGCAAACCAAGTGACGTAGAAATGTTCAAGAATCGAACCGCATTAAGAATTGATGACTCTGTGTGGGTTCAAAGCGGTTTCAAACTTTCGGTTTTGCTGTACATCAGTCCTGATTTCATGTCAAATAACTATCATTCTCATGATTTTTGAAAATGTCAGTTAAATCGCTACTGTATGGTTTAGCATATAAAAATAAAATTACAGAGATGTCAATGACAAAACTATAATTATGGAAAATATTAATCAATATATATGGCTTAAATAGTCACTTCTTTGGACGATTGACTTTCGATACGTCACAGGAGCGAACTCATACCTACCTACCAAAGTTTCGGCTATCATGTCACCACTGGTCCTTTCAAAAGCAAGTACGACATATAGCCTAGGGCTACATTTATACAAATGTCATTCACACACACACAAATAAATAATGCAACTTACTCAGCCAGTGCACATGTCTTTACTGAGTCATGAAAAAACTTGATGGGGTAGCTTACGACACTAACCTGTTAACCTGGCTGAAGTAAATGAAGTTGATTTTTAATCTAGGACTCAACTTCAGAGTCAAGTACCCTACCTGACAAGCCACACCACACAACGGAAAGTGGCATATCAGACAAATCAACCCAGAACCTCATGCACGATTCCATTGGTTCAACTTGCCACATTTCACAGTAGTGCACAAAGAACAGGTGGATAGAAAAAGGCTCACATCAAAGTAGACAAAGTTGAGTGAGACAATAAACAATTTGAAGATAACGGATAGTACAAATATCCAAGCTTTAAATGTCAAGGAGTGAATCCATCTGCACCACTGTGACCGATTACCAGCCATATCACCAAGAGTCTTCTATTACCGATTCCTATCATCTCGGGAACCCCAGCCAGGCAGTCTACATATCCTACACAGGACTCAGACCAACAGTAAGAGACTTCATCGACTGATGTCACGTCTTGATCTGGTCACCTTGAACCTTCTTCTTTTCTAATCCAACTTCCCTCAACATGGCACGTCAAGACAGGCGGTGACTCGGCATGCGCAGCGCATGTTCGTGCCATCTCCGTTGACTAAGATTTACAAGCTCACCAATCAACTTGTATGTCTGCCTTGCCTGGTACCCTTAGCCTAACCTCAGCATTGCTCACACGATGATTTTATCACACGCGACCAATGCTAAGTAAACATCTATGATCAAAACCATGTAACCGTTCCATGTCTTCTACTTTCAACGGCCGTCTCACAGTCGTATAACAGGAAAGAATGAACTGCATCGCAGTATACTCATCCTTTGGTAGATAACCGGATATCTCAAAAGTCGGTCCCACAGATAACGCAAGTTGGCAAGTGCCAGACGGGCCCTTTATATCCGAGCTGAGATTTCGTCAGCAACTCCCCAAGTAAATAAAGTGGTCAACATATTCCACGACCTCACTCCAGATCTATAAAGTGAATAGTTGCAGACCAGTCCTGGAGCATCATCTAACATCTGAAAGGTGCGAAACGCATGTTAGTCAAACATACTCAGATTACTGCTCAACACGTTCAGAAGACCATGCATTGCATCAGCGTCTTCACCTAGCAGGACAACAGCGTCTGCATACTCCAAGCCAACCAAATGACATTCAGGGAGTAGGTTAGTCTCTGTGGAGTCAGTCTCAACTAAGGTTATGTCCATTAGCACGTCTATGATGAAGTTAAATAGAAACTATGACAGTGCGTATCCTTGGCGGACACCACTAGTTGTCGTCACTTCACATGAAAACTCTCCATAAGCCCTTACATGGTTACGTGAGTTCGAGTAGCGTTATATACTTTCTCGGTACTCCCTACACAGTCAGACACTGACACAACGGCTCACGGTCGACTGAGTCAAATGCCGCCTTCATATCAAGAAATATGTCACGCGCCGGCCGTCAGTAAGTATACCTGTAATATTTCACGTTCGATACAACTTTCTCAACTTCAAGGAGAGTTGGAGGACCGGTATCTACTTTCCATCCAGATTCAGGCTGGTTATTGGGCAATTGAACCGTGCTTCGAAGTGTCCCCCCACCCAGTTCTAGCCACCTATTCTAGGAAGTTATCAGCGTCCCATCATTTCCAGTAATGGTTTCACTCACCATCGTCTTCTTTTTGCCGGTATCTATAATAAATCTAAATAGTTGCCGAGTGTTACTCAACACCGATGCTTTCTCCACCTCATTTGCTTTCGACACTTATCAATGCTCGCAAACGACGCGAAGACTCTTGGCCAACTTACGTTAAGGTTACTTTCGCTCTTCGTCGTAACCAGAGCCGGTTGCAATTAGTCTTCTCGTATCAATTAGTTCGGATGACATCGTGGAAATCTAATGGCGTTTGCTAACCTTCAGGTGTATGTTACCAACTGTTCTTACCCCTGTTTCTACAGCAAACTTGATATCACGCCAAGTTTCTTTAGGATGAGCCTTTCCGTCACGTCCAGGTAGATGCTTAGCTAACTCCTCTCTAAATGTGTACTTGGTGTTCTCATTTATCAATCTAGCACATATAGGCCTCAGCCTCGTGTTTTCTGTGGCCAGTAAGGTGGAGATATACGTGGGCTCGTACTAGCGTGCGACCGGAATCTAAACTGGTGCTTCAGAAAGAGCAGTAATCAACCGATACTCTCAAACAATGGCTTATAACAATGTGAACTGTGTCCATTGTTGGTTTAAAGTCAGTGGACATCATGCGAGACAGTGTCTCTTCTTATGCTTCAGGTTAGTGCCCGCCAGAAACAATTGGTTGTCAGAACAAAATGGCAACAGAGGATCATCGTTGTCAGTTCGTTGGTATGAGATACTGTAGATAATTTCAAGATGCCTATCTGATTGGCTTCCCTACCTGAGCGTTAAAGTCACGTTCCATTATGACTACATCTCAGCGGCTTTTCACAGTATTCATACTTTGCATCATGCAAACTACAGTCTATGGGTGCGTAGACAAAGAGTACGAAGGAACGTCTAGTTTTACGATCCTTTCTAGTACTTACAGATCCGTTCAGTCAGACAGCATATAGATTGCGGTTTACTGGAATCCGGTCGAGCAGCACACTTTGCTGTACAACACAATGCTATGCCTACTCGTATGGTGTTTTGAAGACTCATTACTATGGCCAAGTGAGTTCAAGTGAGGAACCACACTCGGGTCCTGTACACGTGTCTCAGAGACAGCAAATATGATACTAAGACCAGTGTGCATAAGTTACTCAACATAAAGGGCCTAAAGGTAATCTTTACTAATATTCAGGCCAGTGGAAATAAGTTTGACAAAATATAAGCACTAGTAAATGCATTGAATTCCTTCCCTGCAGTAATTACAGAAACTTGGCTTGATCCTGAGTTGCATGCAAAGCCTGTGTAGTGAGAATTTAACTGTTTACATACAGACGACGTGCAAGATGGTAAAATAGATAGGATTCTAACATATTTAGAAAGTCGCTTTCAGAT